TTGGGCTTAGGGTTCGTGAGGGCAGGCCCAATGTTAATTTACAATGTTTTTTTTGTTAGGGTTTCAAGCATTTGTTTCAGAATTAGGGTTACAAGCATTTTGTGAGCGGCGCTGCTTTCCTTTCTTCTTCATCGCCTCTTCATGCTTTCTCAAACCATGGCTTCTGACTTCCCCATGCCTTAGGCCGCCAGACACTACCTCCACCCTCTCCTCCCCAAGATTGCTTAGGGCAATGAAAAGAAGGTAACGTTTCTCTTAGCTCCCTCTTCATGCACTTTTAGGGTTTCTGGATTCGTATCTTGCATGTTTTAACTTTTATATGTTCTGATCTTCTGTGTTGTTTATGTTTGTGTGAGGTGTAAAAAAGAAAAGGGAAGGAGAATTTATACCTTGGTTCTGCTTTTTTGGAAAGGAGGAGGAGAGCTTGGACAGGAGGCGTCTTAGGCGGCCGGGCGAGGGAGTGAGACTCTGATGAAAGCTTTGCTCTGGTATTTGTATCTTTAGCCTTGTATGTTTTATGATGATGATATGCTTCTGAAAACCCTAGGGCATCCGTTTATGAATCTCTTCTTTTCTTCTTCTGATTGCTTGATTTGTTTAGCCTATGATGAACATGTTCTGAGGTTGTTTGCTTGTTTGCTCTTGACTCTCTTCCTCTCTGAATGCTTGCTATAATTGTTGTTGAAACTAGCTCAAGCTAGCACTCCATTCTGAAAACTGTTTGTTATTGTTGTCGTGGACTTGGTTGTGTTTCTATTATGACTTTGCCTATGATGAACTTGTTCTGAGGCGCCTATTGTTGGCTATTGACTTTCTTCCTCTCCTTGGATTTTTGATGATTTTCAATGATGAAATCAGTTCTAAGAGTGTTTATTTGTTTGTTTTGGGGTTTGGATTTGATCTTGAAGGCAGGTTGAATGTTGTTTAGGATATAGGTTTTGACAGGCTTGTTGGGGTTTAGGCTTTGACAGGCTTGAGGAGCTTGACAGGTTTTGTTGAAGGTTTTGTAATTGGTTTTTAGTAGGAAGGCTCGAAGGTTTTGTTCTGGTTACAAGCTTGCTTGAAGCAGGCTTGGGTTTCTGTAACAGGTTTAAAGGCATACTTGTTGGTAACAGGCAGGTTGTTGTTTCCTTGCTTGAGGTAGCTTTGAGGCTTGTTTGAAGCAAGCTTTTTGTTTTTTTTGAAGTTGATGCAGGTTACAGTGTTTTATGCTTGAAGGCTTGCTTCTGCTAGGTGTTTTTAGGCAGGATGCAAGGCTTGAGGGCTTGTGTTATGTGTTTACAGTTTTGTGATATCTGTTCTGGTTTTTCTGTCCTCTTTGAACTGTTGGATTTCTTGTTATATTTATCTATCTTCTAAGCCTGCAAACTGTAAGCCTCTACTTCTCTCTCTCTTTCTCTCTCCACAGAAAAAAAAGCATATTTTATTGCTTAGAGTCCCTTTTTTCTGAAAAGGTGTTGGTTGGAAAATGATGAAAGTTTTGAAATATTGCTTGCATTTTGTCTTTCCTCTGCATTCTGTACTTTCTTCTTTTCTTTGATGACAGTTTGATAGCTTTTGATATCTTTTGATATCTTCTTGACAGTTTGGTAGCTTCTTTGGACAGTTTTGACAGCTTCTTTGGACAATTTTGAATTTGTGATTTAGTTTTCTTAATTTGAAACTGTAACTTGGTTGTTTGGTTTGAAGGCAGTTTTGCTCTTGTGCAGCTTTGTTTGGCATTTCAGTTTGCACTTTGTAATTTTTGAATTTCTTATGCAGCCTTGTATTTAATTAATTCCATGCTTGCAAACAATTTTTCTTTCCCTCTTTGTGAACCAAGAAGAGACATCTTCTTGCGATTTGCAGAGAGGACGAACAAACTGATTCCGGCCAACACCTTTAATGATGAGTTTTTGATTAACTGTCTGAGAATGCCTTTTTAATTTTAATTGTATTGACTTCTTCCTTTTTTGTCTTTGCAGGTAAATATCAGTTGAGCAAAGGATGCAACAGTAGAAGATGAAGGCTTCAAGAGATTTAGGATATAGTTTTATTTGATTTCTAATCATTTGTAATAACATTATTGTAAACACTGTAAATAAATTTACAGTATTCAAATAATATTTGTAACAAACAATTAAAAATGAATAAAAAATCTTTTTTGTCAGATATCTCTTTTAATTCTTCTGCAATTGCTTATTTAATTACTTAAATTTCTTGAATTATAATAATTGGAAGTTATCCCAATAATTTTAACTTAGAAATTATAAATAATCAACAAACGTCCGGCGTTCCAAATAACCAAAAGCATTGCACAGTTAAACAAACAAACTTCCATACGCCTTTTACCTTAATGATTAAACCAACACTTCTATCTTTCAATCAGAAGCCTCAACTTCTATCCTAGAGGTTCAGATTTTGAGAAACAAACTGAAATCTTGAACAAGCGTCAAAGCAGTGTGACAGTTAATTTAGACATTGTGGATTCAAATTCTTCTGAGAATGTGTGCGCAAACCCTAATTTTTGATTTATTGTCAAAGAAGCGTCTGCTTGATAAAACCCTGAGCCAAACTCAACCAAATCAATAGAAATCCTAATAATCTGTTTGACTGATGAGAAAAGTCTGTTTGACCGATTCTTAAGCCAATCTGAAAAATCAGGAAAATGCATTCTCTAATTCCATAATCAACGTAACAAAACAAAATGCATTGATAGAAACAAACGATAGTACATAAAAACAAAATATCAGAAAGAGTTTTTAACAACTTAACAAAAGAGGTAAAAAAATTCCCTAGGGGTTAGAAGAGTTTGAGGTTTTCTGATCAAGGAGTTGAGCCAACATTTTCCGAATTATGAGTAGTAGTTTCCAACCCCCTAGTTGTGAATTTGCTTTCTTTTCTAACCCCCGAGTCATGAGTTTCTAACACCTGAATTGTGTTATGTTTCTTTTTCAACCCTCGAGTCGTGAGTTTCCAACCTCCGAGTTGTGAATGTTTGTTTCTTTTCCAGCCCCTGAGTTGTGAGTGTTTTCTTTTTTACCCTGAGTCGTGAGTTTCAAACCCCTGAGTTGTAAGTCTTCAATCCTTGAGTTATGACTATTTCCTTTTGGACCACTGAGTCGTGAGTTTCTAACCCCCTGAGTTATGAGTTTGTTTGCTTTCCAACCCCCAAGTCGTGAGTCTCCAATCTCTTGTTCGGCCCCCGAGTCGTGAGTTTCCAACCCCTGAGTTGTGAACGTTCCTTTATGACCCCGAGTCATGAGCTCCCAACCTTTAATTTGTTTCTAACCCCTGAGTCGTGAGTTTCCAATCCTCGAGTTGTAATTTGTTTGCTTTCGACCCCTGAGTCGTGAGTTTCTAACTCCTGAGTTATAAATGTTCATCATTTGCTCCCCCAACCGTTGTTTTTCAACACCTAGTTATCTTTATGTTGTCTTTCATTCGTGAATCTTCGAAATATTTGTTCTCTACCTTTTGCACGAGAAGTCTTATTCCCCAGCGGAGTTCACATTTCCCTTTTTCAAGAACACTTGGTTAAGCATCATGTCCATCTTTCATTTACCTTTTGTAGATATGCAACATGATTTCTCTTTCCTTCGAGGAAATCCTTCGAGAATATCATACCATTATCTGCCAAAGCTTGTTAATGGAGGCATACAAAAACAAAAATAATTCATAATCCGCCTTTCTCTTTGGAGTGCAAATTTTTTGTTTCTTTTGGTATTTAATCTTCTTATATCTTGAATGTTCTAAAGGCTATCGTCAATCTCACCTTCAGGTTTAAGACGATTAAATAGGGGAAATTGTTGCACCCTAAAATTTGCCCTCCTATCTTTCTTTTTCCTGGCTTATGTTTCTCATTTCATCAGCATGACACACATTCATTCATAAAGCATATTGGTCCAAAAGATCAAAGGTATTAGGGTTTCACAGTGGTTGAGGTTTCTATATTCAATAAAGGTTGGTTTCTTCTGATTCTTCTTCAAGTTGTGAAGTGTGGAATTAGGGTTGTGAAGTATGGTTATCATGAACTTCTTTCTCTTCAAGCTATTAGGTTATTCTCCTCTTCTCAACGTCAAGTTGTAAGGATCTTCAACTGAGGATTATTTTATGTGTGAGCTTGTGCATTAATCAAAGGTCATGAGATTTGGGCTTGATTTTCATCAAAGAATTTTCTCAAAAAGCATTACTTTTGTGTCAAGATTCTGTTTGGTTGAGATACAAAGGGTGATCCATTATACAAGATGTTGAACTTGAAGATTCATTGTGTTCAAGGCATCATTCTTTCTAATACTTGTTGTTTGACAGACAAGTTTGGTTTGGATTGGGGAATTGAATGGAGTTAGGGGTTCATCGAAATTGCAAGTTTATTAGAATTTGTTCATTGAGAATGCAATAGGATTTTGATTTGACGCTGATTCAAGTGATTCTACAAATTCAAATTTGTGTTCAAGTTAATTGATTGGATCCATGTTTTTAAGCATATGATTTGTCAAAGAACTAATTCAAGCTTGCTAAAAATGGAAGATATATTCATATAGTTTTTTTGACTCACAAGCTACAAGATTCAAAGTGATGCTTCATTCATAAGAAATTTCTATTCAAAGTATCAAGTAAAGTTATAATGCACTTCAACATCATCATACAAAATAGTAAACAAGATTTGAGGTTTTCTTTGGTTTCATTCATCAAAGTCTCAAGGTTACAAAGTGGTAATGCCCAATGCATTCATTCATCATTCAAGATTGTCATGAAATTATGCAACACAAAAGCAAAGAAACATTGAAGTACAAAAATCCATTTTGAAAGAAAGAGTGCACTTTGAGTACTTAAGAACTTTGAAATATTACAAGGTGCCTAAAAGTCATCATGAACAATTACAAAGGGATTTTCAAAGAGGATTTGCAAGGCAACGAGACAAGTACTTGAAATCACATGAAGACTTATTTTAATACCTTAATCTAAACCAAAGCATATCCTAATTTTCAATCATTCTTCATGCTTCAATATTTGTTTCCATGCTCCAACCTCACCTCACCTCACCTCACATCTTCATCATCTTCATGCTTATGTCCACATCCAAATTGCCCTGTGCTCAAACCAAACACAAACAGGCCCTGCATCAGCCTGTTCGCCCACACAACAAAACCAAAACAGTGTCCCAATTAACCTACAAACCAAAACAGTCCCAATTAACCTACATATCGAAACAGTCCAAAACCATGCCTTAAGTTAACACAAGAGCAGCCCCTGCATAATTAAAATCAGTAGCAATTTCACTCAAATAATTTACTTGCATTCATGCTAACAGTCCACGGATTCAAACCAACCTACAAGATAAAATTCAAACAACCCACATGATTCTAAATAGTCAGTCATCCTAACACAAAGATAATCAACAAAAAACAGAAAAAATACAGATATATTGCATCACACATCAACCCTGCCACAGCTTTTACTAACCTATATAGCCCAACTTAACTACACAAAACCACCAACTAACATTAAAACTTCATCTAACTAAATTCAAATTTGCCAGTCCACCCTAACTTCGTAATTGTCAACTAACAGTCATAACTGTAAACTACCAACAAGAATCAAACTCGGGAAGTTTCTTTCCCACTAGAGCTAAAGTACTTAGAGATAGCATATTTACATATGGACATTGGTCTTGAACATATAACTACATCAATAAGTTAGAGTTTTTGTAACTTATAAAGTCATTTCTCTCACTCTCTCTAGCCCTTTTTGCTCTTGTTATTTTTCTAATTGCTGTACAACTTTAAATTAAATTTTTGCTATTCTTTATATTTTTTTCCCTTTGATGTGTTTATTGTTTTTTTTTAATTTTGATTACAATTTCAGATTGAATGCAGGAATTATAAAATCATACCGATAAAGAATGCTATTATTAAGCATGAGTACCAATTGAGATACAAATTAGATTACTCTCTACTTGATAACAGCATCTTTAACGGCAAGATCTCATGTTCAATCCATTTCATCTAAAATTATAATTAAAATAAAAAACAAAAAACAGTGAAAAAAATGAACTTAAAGTTACAAAGATCCTAATATTTCTTTTTGGTCTATCCGCTAGAGAGAACGGAGAGGGGAGAGACGCGGTCAAAGAAACAAGGGAGACCACTTGCACGGTGGCGACGATGGTGATAATTGGCAGATGGTGGTTGTCGGTGATGAGCAACGTGGAAAACTTCTTTCTTCATGTCTTCTACCCGCTGTTTTGATGGTCCTAATTTATAGGTTGGAGTGTTCAAAGGATTAAGAAATCAGATCTTTTGTCGCTTTAGCAGATAAATAGGGAAAAGAGGTTTTACACTTTTGTTTGAGTGTTGAATTAGAGAAAACTTTTTATATTTTTGGAAAAAAGTTAACTGTGCAAACAACCTCTCCATAAGGTTAGAGATGTAAGGCAGCTTTCTTCTGTTGTTGAAAGCAACTTTTGTTTTTATTTACTTTTTAGTAATGGTACTATTTTGTTATGTTTTTTATTTTGTTGCAAAGAAAAATGTAAATATGAGTCTTATAGATGAATGTGACGGTTCTTTTTAGATATTTTTTTAATGAGAATAAGGATGATATCATTTTATTTGCACGAGTACCGGTCTCATATTTGCATTGAGATGAAATAGTTTATGTATGAAGAAAAAATAGTTACAATTGAAATATATTCTTGTTTAATAGATATGAATTTACCATATTTTAATAAAATGCAAGTACTCATTATCATTTTTATTCTTGATAGAAAAATAGTATATAATTGATAGAAATGATATATATTGATAATAACAAATGAATATGAATAATATAAGACTTATATAGTCAATGAATAAATGAATATTTTAGATGAAAATTATTCTTTTTTCGGGGGAGGTGTATGTTTGTGGGATGTCTCTAAACACATTTCAATTCAATTAAAAGATAGATTGGGAACTAACAAACAAATATAAGCACTTATTCAATAAAACAGTAATGTAAACCAGAAGATTAGCTCTACCAACATTCATAAATATAATACTATCAAACATTATATATTAATTATACTCTCAAAACTACTACAACTATACATACTTAACACATGTTACATACAATAAGGTGCGCACTTAACAACCATGGTAGTGAAACTTAACATCATTGTAATTTAAGTAAAGAAACTCACAACAACAAAAAATACCACACGTTCGTTTTGAATTACAAACAAATCTTAAATTTTGACATAAACATATATTCTTTCTAGTTAAACATAACACCTTAGCTAGATTGAGTTCTTCACGTGTCTTCAAAAAGGATTTCCATAAACTACGGTATATGCCTACACATTATTTATCAGCCATATACACATAAGCCTACCATGACCGCCAACCATGAGTTGCATTGCCATGCTCCACCGATACGAAGATCTCGTCCACAGGAGGGTAACGAATGCAGAAGTGCAACTATCACCAACCTTCAAATTGGATTTCTTAGCATAGTCATACCGGCCACCAAAAAAGTACCTTTCTACACTCCCTTTTCTCTTCTTCAACAGGCAATGGTGGACTCTGTTGTCAGAATCGTAAATCCGAATTGGTATGTCCCCTCCATGAATACAATTTTTGATTATGTTTCTAGAGATTTGTTGTTAATGGAACAAAACTGTTAGAAGTAAAAAACATGTGTAGTACGGTGGGAGAACTGACTTGTTTAGCGTTTTACCGTAAATGTTGCGGATAGCAAGAGTCGCCACCGACTTTTCTTTTATCTAAGAAAGGGTGAAAAGAATAGGAAAAACCTCAATAGATTTTGAGTTCGGAGGGGGTAAGTTATGAAAAAGGAAGGTGTTAGCACCCTTTTCATCCGTAGTTATCTACAGGCTCTTAATCCTTAGATAACTTTGAAATCTTGCTTTCTTTGTGTGTGTGATTTAAAAATATTTTGAAAAGTCAAAGTACGACTAACTTTGTAAATGATTCTCGCATTGGTTCTCAAGAATGTATACAAAGTGTTTGAAAATATTTTTATTTGAAAAGTGTGATGTGAGAAAAGTTTTTTTTTTAGAAAAGTTTGTGAGAAAGCGATTAATAGTTTCTTACCCACTCAAGGTCGTTCTTATCATTTTCCTTCTTCTTTAGAGATAGTGTTATCCGTACCATTAGTTGGTAAGTAGCCCTACCTACTGGATGTGAAGGGACAGGCGAAGGGTCATCGAATGGTCATCGAAGGCAACATATAGAGATGCTTTAGCAATTGTATCAGAGGGACTAGATCATTTTTCGTAGGCAACATCGAAGGGTCATCGAGGGACTATGATCTTTGAAATTAGGGGTGTATTCAGTTCAATTATTTATCTTTGAAATTAGGGTTATGCTATCGGTTGATTTTAGTCTTTTCATTCAAACCCTAATTACTAGCAATTGCATAAAGAAAGTAATAGCAAAAAGTGAAATACATAATGTAAACATAGGACTATTACAAGGCTTCGGGCAATTACATAATAATGAGAGTGCAGAAAAGTAAACCCTAAACTATTACATACAGAAGCAGATACATAATAAGAAAAACACGAGAAAAATAAACCTAAGTTATTTACATTCGCGGAAGCATCCTATACACTTTATCTAGGAAAATAAAAAAGAAAGATAAAAATAGAAAAGAAAATGTTTTTTGGTGATTTTTATGAAAAAATAGTTTAAGTTGATAATTAATTAAATAAAACCTAAAAATCTAATTAATTTTAAAATAAATAAAAATGGTTAATTAATTAGTTGATTAAAAACTTAAACCTAGTTAATTAGGGTTTATAAATAAAATTTGTTTTTTTAGGTTAATAAAAAAAGACTTAGGTTAGCCAAAAATAGATTAGGGAAAGAAAAATCAAAGAAATAAGGGTTAGAAAACTAAAATAAGAAAAATGCCAGGGGTGGGTGTTGAACCCACGCCCTTTGCCTTCTTCCTTGCACCATTTACCACTGAGCCATACATTGGTTGGTGTCTGTGGACTGCGCGCTACACAAAATATAATAAACCTGTGAAAATTGGAAAAAACATGAAAAAATAGGAAAAGGCAGGGATCGAACCCACAGTCTAAGAGACTAATGTCTTAACATGCTTGGGCCTTGCCATTAGGGTGGCTGTTACATCTGGTATTGTGAGGGAATCAAATAAATATAAAATAAGAAAAATCAATGGTCGGAGAGGCGCCGGAGCCCTAGCTCTGGTCGTCTTCTTCGGCAAGCCAATTTCTTCAACCTGCAAAATAGCAATGGTTAGTGATCCAAGGGGTCCCTACCCCTCTAATTTGACCCTTGCGAGTTCAATGGTGGCCTTGGTTTTGGCTAATTCTCTCTGTATAAAGAAATACGAACAATATAACATAAAACATTTCAAACATGGAAATCCCTCGTCTGGTCGTTATGGGACTCATGCAATGGGTTAAATATGTATTGTTACATCTCAGAAGTACGTTTGCAATGTTAGTTTTGATCAAAGCATACTAAAAACTTAAAATACGATTTTGAATAATATATGAGACTGGTGATGCATGAATGTATATTTCAGGTCCTTTTGATCATCAAGCACGACCACGACATACTCTGTACCATCTCAGGGATTGATTGGAACAATTGCTTGGCCTTGAGGAAGGTTGTAGATAAGGGTTTGGATTTGCCCTAGCTCGACAAACTTTTGAAGTTTTTGGAAGGTGATTTCTTGCAAGGTTTCGTGTTTTCTTGTTGTCTGAATGTGAGGAATATATAGGCTATGAATTAGGTCAACAAAAGATGAGTTTCGACCTTGTATGCAAGCCTTTGATTTTTATTTTATTTAATTTTGAAGTTAAATGAATAAAATCAAAATAAATGGAATAAAAATAAAAGGGGTGTATGAATAGATTTAGAGATTCACTATGAGGTCTAAAACAAGTTTGGACCTTGAAACATAAACCCATTAGCCCAAAAATTCAAGTTTGACCAATTTGGGTTTAATGCATTTTCTCAAAATTTCCCAACTTGCACCAATCATAACTCTCTCAGTTTTTGTCATATGAAGGTGATCTTAGACTTTTTGGAAAGCTAAAGATGTCCCATACAATCTTTAGGTTGATCATTTTTCCATTTGAAGACTTTATCTTGATGTAAGTTGCCTTGATAAAAAAATGTCTTTTTGTTGACTTTTGAAATGACCTATAATGTTTTGGCCCATATCTCTCAAATGAAGCATTTTTTGGAATTGA